AAAATTGGTTGTTCCTCTGAGGAATATAATATGTACATTTCTAAGAAGTGTAGTTGATAGAACAAATCAAAATATATTTGTAAGAATTACAATCTTACCACCAATATCCAAACCCTCATGCTTTCCTTTTTTCCGATCCTTTAATTTTTGCTTGGATTTATCTTTATCCTTGTCTTTCCGCTTTTCCTTATCTACATCCTTCTCATCCTTTTCCTTCTTTTTTTTATCCTTCTCTTTCTCAGTATCTTTTTCTTTCGCCTCCTTCTCTCGAGATTTTTCCCGCTTTTCCTTTTTAGTTGGGAATTTAAAGGCTTTGGTCTTTTTTGATTTTGAAGGGCTTCTGTATAATTTTAAGAGCAATTTGTAATCAACTGTTATTTTGTATATATGTAATAAAGACTTTTATAATAAAATAAATGTTCACTGAGCAAATTAGAATTAGTATAAGTAGTAGTATCAAATCATAAACATTTAAAATAAGTCTGCTTTCCATTTTTCATAAATCCAAAATCAGATTCAATGATGCATGAAAAAACTAGTGTAGTACTAATAAGAAATGTAGAACTAGAAATAGTCAATGGATGGCCATCAATTATAATTATCAAGTATTAATAGTGTAGCCTTATTCATATGCCTTTGTTAATTTTTAGTCAAGAGAATCTGTTAATTGCGTTTATATTAGTTACATTAGTTATTATTAGTAAGTATATGTCAAGCAGCAATATAAAAGAGAGAAATCACGTAGATTTCGACGCAAATATTACTTGGTTTCCTGATCCTCGTCCGGCGAACTCTCACCCTCTAGGGTCGCATAACCCCTGTCCTTTCTGTCCTTCTTGTCCTTACGCTTTCCACCAAGAAGTTCCTTCTTGGAATGCTTATCATGGCTGCCTTCGTCACTAACTGCAATATAAAAATAATTAATGCAAGATAAATCTCTTCGGCAGTAAAATGACAGCGAGAAAAGCAAATCTACAACTAGATGTTTTGACAGCTATCACATAACCTCTCTCTATTTCTTAAGCACGATATCTAATTGTTCGAAACGTAAATACAACGTGACAATAATTATTACGTACAATCGCTCTCATTACTTTTCCTCGCCGATTCAGATGCATACAATCCGGGAAATTCTTTCTCAACGTCTGGACTTTCAAAGTCCATTCTACTTTAATTTATGTGTACCTGACGTACATACACACTTGCGAGCAATGTAGAAGACAGAAGATGCGCAGTGGTTCAATGTAGCGTCTGCTCTTCGACCAATCAGAGTTTGCCTCTAAATGCTAAAAATTTAGCATTCAAAAAGTAAGTTGGATTACATTACAGTCTATTTAGTTTGCAGAAATTCCAGCGTGTTGTATAAAATTTCGCACTATAGTTGTATGTCTTACTTACAACAAAATAAAGTGTGAAATTTTTTTTATTTCCTAAGGACGAAATTATATAGCTTCAAGCCTATCAAAGAATATAGAAATATGAAAATTAATATAATTAATTAAACATTCGTTAGTTGCAATGTGTATGTATGATATGAATGTATGTATACTATGACAAATTTTTTTAACGATTAAATGCATTTTAGAATACAAACTTTGAACGTCAAAATACCTTTTTAATTTTATATCGAATAATATAAAATAATACACACACACGCACGCATGCACGCACGCACGCACACATACATACATACATATATACACACCATTTGCCCAGAATCGAGCGTCTTTAATAGTATATCTCATTGGTATTTATAGTCTGATCTTAGTATGTTTGAATCTCGCGCAATATTTGGGGGGGGGAAATTTGATTGGCTGCTCCAAAATATTCAGTAGCCATTTATGCTGCATTATGCGTAATCGATATCTCGCGTTCTCGAATCGGTCGCGATTACGCGTTGCGTTCATATTCAAGACATTCATGTTCGCGAGTGTATAGTTATTTATTTTATTTGTTAATTGTTATTTATTTTTGTTTAACATCGATGCTGTTGTGTTCAAGGTGAAATAGTCGAATTAGACTATATTCTATTATTCTGTCGTCGAAGTCGAAATATTCCGATGATCCCGGTAGTATATTCATTTTTTTGCTTATATTAGAACCATTTGGTCGCGGCGGACGCGCTTCGGTTCGGATACTGTTTAATTCTGTATTTGAAGTGTTTCTACTAAACGTTTTTTAAATGTAAATCTGTTGGGTTTTGGTACAATATATATCTTTTATTCTATTTTGTTCGAATAATAATTTTAACTTATTATGATGAAATTAATAATTTTATAATACCGATAGTTATAAAATGTTGATTACTTTTAGGTAAACAATATAATTTTTATTCAGTTTTATCTACCGCAATTAATTGATATCCGTAATTAAGTAACATTACTTATAATAATTATATTGTCATCATTGTCTACAAAAATTTACATTGTAAATAAAAATCGATCAATTAAGAAAAAAAAGTGGTAGCAGTAATAAAAATATGTTAAAAATTATAATTTTATAAATTTTCTGAAAACTTATAAGGATAATAGGACTTATAAGGATTAAGCTGCGAAAGTGTTACAGATTGAAATTTTTGTAATTTAATGAGATCTGATATTTTTATTGTAATTTAACATCTGAAAATTAATCTTATTTATTTTTTTCTTTTTTATGACGACGAGGATTCTATTCACGAAAACTGTAACTCATCAAAACTGCATTAGTTTCAATGTTAGACTTTTGCGATAATGAACGTATTTTACAGTATGCATTGCGTAACTTGTTATCTTCTGCATGCAGCAAAGGTGTAAATACAGCTTCATGTATGGAGCACATTTCGTAATTACTTATGTAGGTCAAATGGGACTGGTTCCTTTAAGAATTTATGTTGTGCACCTTTGGTATTTTCGCTTCGTTTAACTGGATGCCACACCTGGATCAATGATTTATCTACAATGTCTTTGCTGCAATATTAATCCTGCAAGAACTTTTCCCCCATTTAAATGACTAAATAGAGATTCAAGAAACTTCTTAAAAATGTTAATTTTATGTTTTGCTGTAATTTATATTCTATATAGGTATACATACATTTCTCCAAATATGTATATATTATTATTTTTTTTTGTATATTCCTTTTCTGTATATGTTCTATAAAAATTATTTTTTTATATATCTAAAAATTGTTACAATTTAAATTTATTTTACTATTTCTTTTCTTACATCAAAATATTTTTATTTTAATTACAATTTCTAAAAGATGACGGAAAGTAGTAAAAATTGTAAATAAAAATAAAATTAGATTTGCTGAAGTAAAATATAAGAGCTTTAGTAAAAAATATGAAAACATACCAAAGTTAAATTATAACTTGTATAAAACATTCATTAGTATAAAGTAATATAAACAAATTATAATAAATATATCTCATAATAAATTATAATATAAATATATCAATATATTTGTGGTTCCTACTTCTTAAATTATATTTATTATAGCTTTAATTGTGTTAAGTTTACATTTACATTCAGATCACATATATATCAAATACAAGTTTCTAAATACTACCATAATTAGTAACGCAAAGGAAAAATGTTTACTAGAGTTGTGTAAGAAGTTTAACCATTGCTGTACTTTCAGCGGCATGCGAGAGAGATGTTTCTGCAAGAATACCAAATGTGTGGTTGGCCTTGTCTGCTGTCTTTTTTCTTTTGCTCAATTGTAGTGCAGATGCGACCATGGAAGAGTTCAATTGGATTTCAGTGTTCGGGTGACTTTCGCGAGATAAACACGATTCTCCCAATCATCCGCTAATATAATTTAATTTTTACTAAAGAGCCTTTGAAAAAAAGTGCACCAAGCAAAGCATGTGTTATACATATGTAAACACATTCCTTATTTGTTAAATCAGAAGAGTACGCAATCGCGTAATCGAAATATGATAAGAAATATATCGAAGACTTTATGTAATGAAAAAAAAATGTAAAAGAAACACACAGCGTATGTGGAATTCATGAAAAAAACGTATGAAAAAATTTCTGCGAATGCATTACGGGGGGTTAAGAGCCATTGAAGATTGCGTCTCGGTAAAAGTGAAATGATAATTGAGTTAAATGACTGACGATAAGTACGCATTATCGATTTGAAATCCGTTGTGAGAGTTTGGTGCACCCGAACTATGAACCTGTTCTTCAATGTTTTTCAATGTCGATACGACGGGTCATGGAATGCAGAAGAGATGCGATCGTTCGATGGCACCATTGTGTCAAGATGTTAAATCACTGATTAACATCTCGCTTTTTGCAATCTTATTTCGTATGACTTGCATCGTGCTGTTCTGATCGTAAGATCCGTAAAAAGTATCCTCGAACGCTGACGTAGGTGACCCTGATGCTATACAGATCTATACGACTTTTTCTCGATGCTACTTTAGAAGACACCAGTTGATTGTTAACATTGCATTACGGAGAACAAGACACGATTGAGTGCCATATAAATTTTGTGCGCCACGAATTGTAGATTTCTGTTTTCATGTTAATTACGAAGATTTACGATCGAAGATTATACGTTAATTGTGTTTGGAGCGATCATTTACGAATAAATTGTAAATATTATATGTCGAATTAAGTATTGAAAATAAATATGGAGCGATGAATCAAGATTAGAAAATCTACGTTACATTGCGACGAGCATGCAATCGTAATAAGTTGATAAAATAAATTGCAATAAATTCTTCCTATCCAAAAGTACGATTATCGAAAAAGTCATCAGTTATTACGTTTTGAAATTGGTAATCAAGGCTTTTTTAAATCAAGTTTACGGAACGAATGCAATTTCGTAGAAACCTACCTCAATTTCGCTAATAGATATCAAGGTCTCAGAGGTTTCTAAAGAGAAGAATCGATAAGTTGTTATGCAAGAGATTAATAGAATAACGTATTAAGGAGAATAGGCGTTGTATATATATCCGATATAAAAGATTGGCGAAGATTTATCTCTTGCGCGCGATATGATCGAATCCATAATGCTCACGTTTTGTCTAACGATCTTCCTGGGTCACGTTGGTGGGATCTTATCTCCGGCTATTCTGGAAACGGTTCATCACTTCTTGGCAGGATTCCCACCGCCCGACGATCTAGTGCTGGATGAAGACACGGTACCTGGACGGCATTACCTATCTTTCGACTTTCTCGTGATTGGAGCTGGTTCGGCGGGGTCTGTACTCGCGAACCGCCTGACCGAAAATCCTAACTGGAACGTCCTGGTGCTCGAGGAGGGCAGGGATGAGATATTTCTCACAGATATTCCCTTCCTAGCGTCAGCCCTCCACATCACAGACTATGCCCGCGTATACAAGGGTAAATCTCGACCACAAGACACGTACGGTCGCGGTGGGTACTGTCTCTCGATGGTCGACGGTCGTTGCAAAGTGGTGACTGGTAGAGCGGTCGGTGGCACCTCAGTAGTGAACTTCATGATTTACTCAAGGGGTACATCGGCGGATTACGATGGCTGGGAGGCGCTCGGAAATCCCGGGTGGAGCTACGAGGACATATTGCCTTATTTCATCAAGTCCGAAAGATGCAGGCTGATCGATAAAGACATGAGGTGCGTGATAAGATCGTGAGATACTCGCATGAGAATTATAGATTAATTTGATTTCCTTTTTTTTTTACTGTGAATCTTTTTATTTACGTTAATTCAATTACATGTAATTTCCGTTATTTTATTATATAATGTTCATGTAATGTAAAAATAATTAAACATTAAGCGTGATATCTTATATTCGTCCTCGTACTTCATTTTGCACGATTCTTCTCTCGTCAGGTATCACGGATACGAAGGATATCTGGATGTCACTACTCCTCCTTATGCCACTCCTCTGAAAGAATGTTTCTTGAATGCTGGCCAAGAGCTTGGTTACGAACTGATAGATTACAACAGCGATAAGTTCATCGGTTTCTCAACTGTGCAAGCAAATTTACGAAATGGTCACAGAGTCAGCGCCAGCAAAGCTTTCCTCAAACCAATTCGCGACAGAACCAACTTTTATCTGTCTAAGCTCTCGACAGTAACTAAAATTGTTATTAATCCGCAAACAAAAAAAGCCGAGGGCGTTCAATTTATGAGAGGCCATAAAATGTATTTTGTTTCCGCTACTAAAGAGATTATACTTTGTGCAGGTAAGCATTCAGAATATCGTTAAAAGATATATTTATGGAACAAACGTACAATTTCAATTTCCCTCTCCCTCTCTCTCTTTCTCTCTCTCTCTACATAAAGCTTTAATAAAACATTACCGAATCTATTTAATAAAATATTTTATAAAATGTAAAATTATTCTAATTTAGCCCGTTTATCATTTTTTATTCTCATTTAGCTATTTATCATTTTTTAATCGAAAGTTTTATCTAATATTTTTGTATGTACAGGTACTTTGGGTTCACCACGGTTACTGATGCTTTCCGGAATAGGTCCACGAGATCATTTGAATTCATTAGACATCGATGTGATCGAGGATCTTCCGGTGGGATTTAACTTACAAGATCACGTGAGCATGTCAGCTTTAACGTTTCTAGTCAATGAGAGTGTGACTATTGTCGAGCCACGTTTAGGTTCGAATCCAGTTAATTTTGTGAAGTACCTGATAGAAGGAAATGGTCCTTTAACTATACCCGGAGGTGCCGAAGCGATGGCCCTTGTTAACACCAAAGCTAATAATCATATGAAAAAAATACAGAAGGAAAAGTCCAAATTGAAGTACATTCACCATGTAAATACGCATAAGTACGACAAGCAGTATAGTAAGTATTTGTCATCGTACAAGTTAAAATTTATTAAACAAACGAATAAACAAAAAAAGATTAGTTTTGTTTTAATAAAAAATCAAGATGTTTACTAATTTTTAAAATATAAATTATTAGAAAAAACAAAATCAATTAATTATCTTTATAATACATCAAATTTAAAAGTAATGGTAATAAGACATTTCAGATATATTTTATATATTTATCAAACAAAATTGGCTTGTTCTTTTGCTATTATAATTTTTTAAACTCAATTAGCTCTGGCAGAAATCACAATATAAATCATTTTTTATAGCTGTTCCCAACATAACTTCCATCACCATAAGTCGTAATGTCTTCAATAAGATATCTTCTCATACTAACGGGAGCAAGCTGTCAAAGGATGACTTTCCCGACGTCGAGTTGGTATTAGGCGCAAGCTCGTTAGCCGGAGATACTTCCGGCATTTATCGCAGTCTTTTAGGATTAACGGAAGAATTTTATAAGGAGGTTTATGGTGATTACAAAGGCTTTGATAGCTTCATGATCGTACCTGTTCTTCTGCAACCTAAGAGTCGCGGTAGACTCACTTTGAGAAGCAACAATCCATGGGACTCGCCGATTGTGGATATCAATTATTATGATCATGAGGATGATCTGAATACAATGGTGCAAGCTATAAAAATCGTAAGAAGAGAATCTTTACGTATTAATGGTCTTCCCTTATTTTTTATTTTTTTTTTACTCACTTTATACTTTACACTGCATTATAGAAATCTCTATTTATCTCGTACATTCTAAATTATATTCCTTTTGTAATTAAAAAAGCATCCTTTATTCTTTTATCTTTACATTACAGTTATTTATTATATTTTCTTTACTTACTTTGCGTTCTAATATTCTCTTATTAACTATCATTTAGAACTACATTCTCAAATAATTGAAGCATATTTATTCCTCTTGTTCTCCACATTTATTATTTTATTAAAAAATTTTTTTTACTTCATTTATATTATGTAATATTTATATTATACAACATATTCTTTCATTATCTTACACATTAAAAATTATATTCTATATATAATTAAAACATTTTTTGTCATTTTTCAATTTTTTAATATAATTTAATATTTTTATCGCACATCTTATCATAGGCGATTGAAGTGGCTTCCACGAAGGCGTTCGAGCGTTTTAACACTACGATGCTGCCAGTATCGTTTCCGGGATGCAAGCATATCGCTTTTAAGAGCGACGCATACTGGGCCTGCGTCTCCCGTCAGGTGTCGACGACTCTGGGTCACTACGCTGGCACGTGCAAGATGAGCACCCGGAGGAATTCGGGAGTGGTGGACCACAGGCTGCGGGTGCACGGGATCGACGGTCTCAGGGTCGTGGACGCCAGCGTGATGCCGACTATAATCGCTGGTCATACAAATGCACCAGTGTACATGATCGCTGAGAAGGCCAATGACATGATCAAGGAGGACTGGAAAGAGGTTTGTCACTAGCCCGTGCCGCAAACCGCGCTCCATGTAATATCAGGGAAAAGAAATAGGCGGTACGCGGTACCGCGGTTAACTAACCAGGCAGCTAGAGAACCGCGTACCGCGTACTGCGTACCGCGTTCCATGTAATCGCACCCTGATTCTTTTTTGAAAATGAAATAATTTATAAAATTACGATTTGTGTTGGACCGTTGATTTGAAAAACAAGTAAATATGATAATGTAATCGGATTCATGTAATTCATATAGATTAAAGGTATCACTTGTGTTTTACTTTTTAATTTGGAAGGTATAGAATTTAATTTGACGCCGATTGTTGATATCAAATCTTTTCATCATCATTTTTATGATGAACTAAAGAATGTTAGTTTTCATCACGCGTGTACGTAATGTGCCCTATACCTTGAAGCTTTTGCGTGCTGTAAATAGCCAATACCTCAAGCCGTTGAGTTATTTCTCTAATCCCACTCTTCTGCGCAAAAACAGTTGTATAGGGCACATTACGACGAGCACTTGTAATGTAAAATTCCATGTGTAGCGAGTGGGGGCATATTTGCTTATAGTTCAGCACAGGCGCTCGTACTCTCGCGTCCTGCCCTGCTGCGCTATAAACAACTATCGTTATCCTCCACTGTTACACAATGTAGATACTATTTACACTTTTAGGAATTTATTGTATAAATTTTTTATATGAAATTACAAGGTATCTATTATTAGTGTTATTCTGTTTATTTTTTTACATGTATACCAGGAGATGTGGATTTACATCGCACGTTTTTTCCATAATTTTTTCTTTTGACGCGAGGTCATTGTATTCCACCCAGCAGTTTCCAGGGCGTGGAACTATTGCCGTGTAATGTCCTATTTCTGCCATGGCCGGATATTTAAAATCTACTATTCCTAACAACTGTAGTTCCTTTCCTGGATTTAAAGGATTTGCTATTTTATGTGCTATTTTTTCCAATTTTATTGCTGGATTTTTATATTTGATGGTATATATGTCAAATAATACTATAGGTCCTGAAGAAATTTTCCGTATGAATATATAGATTTGGCACAACGTAAACGTAATAATGGAAATACTGTAACATTGTGTGTGTTTGTGTATGTGTGTGTGTGTGTTTTTATATGTACGCGTGATCGATTAACATACTATTTGTATAATTGTAATACATTATATTAGTTGATATATGCATTTTTTGATTACGTAAAAAGTATATGTTCGAAAATAATATGATTTAAATTACCTATTTTACACAACTTTGTTGTTTCAAAATCAGTACAATGTCTATGACAACATTTTTTTTTGCCTTTTGATACAACATTGTTTTCTATAATGTTGTAAACGTCTCCTTTTAATAAGTAATTGTACTCTATCTGGGACACTGTTAATTTCTTCCATCTAGGTGGGCACCCTTTATTACACACTGAAATTTCTTCAAAACTCGGAGTGTTTTTAAAAAGTTGGCTCGCCAAATAGCCAACGTTCGTTTGGCAATCAACATGAATACAATCTTTATGTACATCGCGAGTCGTAAATATAGATAATAGTAATTGTCCACGTAGTTTGTAGGTATATGCTGTAATTCCATTTTTAAAAATATCTTTTGCCATTTCATATAATTTATTTTCGATTTTGCGTATCTACAGTAAAGCACATTAATAATAATTGAAACTAGATGAACTTTTTTTGTCTCAAGAAATACTATTATTTCTGAATGATTAATAGAGTAAGATTTATAAGCGTATTTCTTATTTACAAATGATTATAACTTCGATATTCTGCGTTAAAATTTTCGGTTATAATTTAGTTAAGGCAACTGTTACATTAAATTCGCGAGAATTGAGACTGTACATACACATTGAAAAGAATACTTTACATTAGATATTATACACGAGTCGCTATAGGTTCGTATGATTTTGCTTGTAGAAAGTTACTTTCGAAGTAATATATGTACCTCATATTCGAAATCTTTGTAATCTGACAAGGTGGCGAGGACAATTTGTAGCAAGCTGTCGAATGCACAAGTGTTTACGAAGCAATAATTTCGATCCTCTATTTTTCCTGCTTGCAATTCCCTGGAATTTCCATTTTTTATTATTGGGAGTTTAGCACTTCTCCACGTCAAAGCATCTTTTATACCGCGCGGATCATCTCCTAAATATTTTGCCTTGTGCTTTTTATTATTTAAAATTAAACCTCGCCGATTTTCTGTTTCTCTTGTAGCAAGAATGTTTTTTGATTTCAATGAAGAGCAAGGAAGACAGATTTTTTTCTGCCCTGCTTCTTCACCATAAGCCATGGAACATTTGTTTAATGCATGTGTTATTTTGCATATAGCACAAATAAGTGCACCAGATGGTACGTCAATATTGTTACAAGCAGGACACAATTTTGGTTCACCTGTTTATACAGTTGAAATGTTAACAATAATCTAAATGAGACCGTAATGTGTATAACATAATTAAAACGCGAAAAAAGGCCAAATAAGTGATAAATAGTGTTTAAAGAACGTATTATAAGGCCAAAGTGTAATCAACAATAATCGAAGTAAAACCATAATCGGTTGTTGCAACAAATACATATTGCTCGAATTACTCATGGCGATGCCGCCTTTCAGGACATATTACGTGTGATTCAAAATTTTTTATATTTTAGTTGTTATGCACCCTCGAAGAATGGACTTTGTTGGCTCGAGATAAGAGACTTGTAGTGTCTTTTATTAATCTTTTAAATTTAAATTTACTCGTAGTTTTTTTAACAGGGTCGGAGATACTACCGCGTCTCCTGATTATCATATACCTTAGCAATGGAATTAATAGGATACCCGGCGCCTATGGAATATAAAGAGATCCAGATAGATTCAAACTTTGGTTGAGATAATACTTTTGGCGACAAATTCTTTACAGTTTTTCAAGGATATTAGGTGAGGGAAGGGGAGAGAATAATATAGATGCTAGTAAGCAGCAGTGTTGTTAAATTGTTCATCGATTTGATATCGTGATATTTGCTCTTCCTAATTCAAATTTTAAGAATTGCGTTTAAAGTTCGAAAGTAATGGCGCGTAATTTGAAGAAGTATAAACAGATATTATATGTATAATAAAAATCATTTAAGAAAATTATTGAACGCTATATAATCCGTGATGTTTCCGATTGTTTCTTGACCCTTTCTTATGTTTTAATTGTGAAATATTAATATCATATTTTTACTTTCGTTTTTCTCCATGTGACACTCTTCGGTGCTTACTGTATCAATTAATAAATCATTTTTTTCTCACCGTTAACATTTAATTCTTCACGAAGATAATCTAGATGAATTTTTAGAAAGTCATCTTCTCTCATAGGGACACTGCAATTTTTTATTTTATTAAATTCCCCTTCGACTCTTTCAGCACGATGCACCATTGGTTTGGTGCATAGTTCTAATCCAGTTGTTTTTTTTAAAGGCACCCTTACAAAGCGTTTGCTGCATTTTCCAGCCCCTTTAATTACTTTGCATTTCAAAAGTATTTCTTGCGCATGTTGATTCTCGATCACACATTGCAAAGTACTACCGCATTTGCAAGAACCTAAAGAAAAAAAAATAATCGCATCTTTATAATTATTGTTACTATTAATATAATTTCAGATTATTAATAGAAAGTACTCAACAAAAACTAGGGAACACTTTTGAACACGCTAAAGATTATTGACCGTTGAAGCAAAAATGATCACTTTTGTTTCACGCATATTTTCGTTAAAAATTTCAATTATAGATTTCGAAAGTAGAGATTTTAACCTTTAAAATGCTTTTTTAATTTTTTGTCTGCAATAATTTTTCACAAAGTTGCGATATTTTGATTATTGCGCATATTTCTTTACGTTCGATAGTGTTTCCTATTTTTTGAGTAGTATATTTTTATACACAATAAAAACAATATTAACAAATTAAGTAATAAACAATATTCACCAAAAGGAGAACGAAACAATCAAAATAATGTCAATTTGACGTCATATTGATATTATTTTGATTTGGTCATTTGACATTGTCGAGGACATTGTTTTGTTCTTCTTGGGAACGTCTATGTGTAAGTGTGTATGTGTGTGTGTTTTACACTTTTTCTATTTCATCACACACACATTTTCTTGATTTATAATAATCTTATATGTAATATTACTTGAAGATACGTACAATAATTACAAATTTTATATACTTACCGTTTATATAGCCAGATGTACCATTATTAGATAAATAATGGTTACGAAAACGAAATCCACATTTTAATTTCACGGCGTCCCAAATTTTTTTAGTTATAAAATCTTCCCACAATCCAGGTCGAAGAGTTTTCCAAATTCTATGTCTTATTTTCTTTTTTTGTACATGTTTATAAGATTTGAATACAATTAGCTCATTAAATTCTGTATTTGGCACCGTTATTAAAAATTTTACAGGTTTTATATTTTTCTTATATCGTAGATCTTCCAAAGACGTGTTAATCATATTGACAGCGTTTGTTGTACTTGCATCTTGTATATGACCGTGAAGTTTATTACGTACACCGTATACATTGTTACACACCATCGCATAAATAGACGTTGACTCTAATTTTCCATTTAAAGAAATTGATATTTCGGACCAAATCGAATTAGTTTTTGGAACTATTTTGTCCGATATCACTATTCTATCTTTGAACGCCACAACACTTTTCACAAAATCTTCTTTTTTAACTTTAGGTGGACGACCTTTAGTACGATACATTTTTCAGATATTTATCCAATAACGTTTCGCAGTCGAATGTAGTTTGAAACCAAGATATACTCTGTGAGACAAGCGAGAATAAACGAAAGCGCGAGAGTTGAGATGCCTGGCCACCAATAAGCGGAACACGTGTGTCGATACGAAATAAGTAGCGGCTAAGAAACAAGCAATTGCGCGGGAATCATCCTCTTGTTCATACGCTGGATGGAAAAGGACTTGGTGACCAGACATCACGAAAAGGCAGCGAAAAGATTTGATATCAA